AAATTATTTTTAAATTAAATTAAAATATGTCATATAATTAATAAATTATTTATTAAATTTAGTTAATAAAATTCACTTCAAATAAAAAAGTCACAAGTTTCGTACCGTTATACGGTACCTTCTTTTCTCGTTGACTTTCCATAACCATAAAGTTTGGTTTGAATAGAGGAGTCAAAAGTCAAGACAAATTAAGGCCTTTTAGGAACATGGTTAGAGTTCAGTCCACTTTGGTTCCAATGTCCCAGAGGGTTGAACGGGCCGGTTACCATTCGGACTTTAGCCCAGATTATCTGGTCCAGGGCCTGGGGTCACATGGGCCGAGTTATCAGATTTTAGTCCTTTAGGCTGACGCAAACTGCTTCTAAAATCTAAAGACATTAAGACTCTATTTGGTGTGATTGGTGAGAGCTTTTATTTTTTGAGTATTGTTATAAGTGATAAATTTAAATTTTTATTAGAGGAAAAATAAAGTTTTAACTTTTAGAAATGTGAAAAAGTTAATGAAAAGTAAAATAAAAAGGAAATTTATGAAAAGTTTAGATTTGAAACTTTTAAATTTTTACTGTTTAAGAGCTTTTTGAGATTAAAAAAAATTTAAAAATGTGAGTTTTTAAAAGAAAAATTTAAATTCATGAGACATAAATAGTATTGAAAAGTTGAAGCTCTTAGGAGCTCCACCAAACAGCCCTAAAGCGTAAGTATTGGTTTGGTTTTGTTGTTTATTTTTTATTTTTATTTTTTAAAACATGGGGGAAATTTTGGAGAATAGAGAATTTTTTTCAAAGTAATTAATGAAAATAGAAGTCTAATTAACTAAATGCTTCCAGGACAAACTATTAAATTTAAAAGGTCTGATTTGATTTGGTTTTGTTTATTTACTAATAAAGAGATATGTAGTATTAGATATAAAAAAAAAAAAAAAAGTGTACATTTTGAATAATATAAATATAATTTAAATCCTTAAATAAAAACAATTTAAGAATTAAAATTTTATTTAACGGTTTTTGTTTAACAATTTATAAAATTTAAAACTCATATACCCACGACATCATCAATGGGAGGCAGACAGCCAAAAAAAAAAAAAAATCATTAACAAGCAGAACCCAGCTCCCTCAAAATGAAAGCTAAATGAATAACACGATTAACATAGAAGTTCACACCCCACCCCCAGATTATTGTGAAATCAAATTATATGGAACTTGAGTCAATGCCGGCGACAATAAAATTGCTTATAGAATAGTAGTAATCACTAATCAAATATAGTGAGTCATTGAGTGGCAAACATTATTCATCGCCAGCACCATTTTCAACTAGGTTTCTTTTTTTTCTTTTTTTTTTTGGTACAATAATCAACTAAGCTTTTGATAATTTCTTCTCAATATTGAGATTTTGAGAGGTTTTAAACTCAAAATCTCCTCAGGTAATGGTTATTACTTATTAATGAATACAAAATGAAGATCCAAAGATTAATATATAGTATAGAAAAAGAGTGCTACACCTATTCAGCCACAGTAATCAAGCACGCAGAGATGAACAAACCAAACCATTAAGTCAATCTCTCTCTGGTTTGAACCTAATTACAATTATGTCTGAAAAAAGGATTAATTAATTGATCATATCCTTACACTTTGATCTGAAGTCCTCTCTAATTAATTGAAAAAGAAGAAGAAACAATACGAAGCTTTGGATTAAGGACAGGAAGTATCATCATCATCATCATCATCAGGCTGCCAGAACTGGGGCGGTTCGTTATAAGGGCCAAGAGTATTATGGCACGCGGAAGGTCCTGAAGGCGGCACTGGCGCCCGCGGCAGCTCCTCTTCAAACTTGAACTGGAGATTCCTTACTTTAACCATGGGGCGGATGCATCCTCCTACAGAAGCCTTGGCCAGTAGTAGCAGGAACAGAAGCAGCAACACCCTCAAGTCATGTCGGAAATATTTCTCCGAAGAAGATGACATTTCTTCCTTTTTGGTGCTGTTAATGTAGCCACAGAGGGAAAATATATAGACTTCAGAGGTAACATAAAAAAGACAGAAACATCGTGTGTTATGCTGGACTTTGAGTCTTGTTGAAAAAGATTGTTGGAATGTTCTGAAATTAATTTCATAGTGAATGTGTTTTGAATAATTGGGGACTGTTTTGGGGTTTTTTCAGCGCGTTTTATTTTTCTAAGTGATAAATTAAAAGTCATAGTTGGAGAATTAACTGAAACAGCAGCCAATTTAGAAACAGAGTGGATGTGTAATCAATGGTGTTTGAAATACTTGTTCTTATTTTATGCAAGTATCACCAACTCCACATGTAACATTGTACACCGCACACAGCGTGCTGGTTATGAAACGTGGACAATTATATGCCATCTTGATTCTTCAATGCCGTGGACGGCCGGAACTGGCGCTCTTTGCTGCCTTCTGAGAGTGTCCAACTGTCCAAGGACCAGGAGGACATTGTTCATATTTTCTGCATTTTCTGCACCATAGAGGGATTTAGAGAGAACAAGTGTTTTCCAAGTTTAGGTTACAAATGTATGTTGGATTTCTTCTAAGCGATGCAAAAATTCTTGCACTTCCCAAGGCCCATTGAAACTGGATTTAGGATGCATTTGGGATTACAAATTAGTAGTATTTTCGTGTAACCACGTAACATTTTTAGATATATATGTGTTTGATAATATTTTTGAAACTGCTTTTTTAAAAAGCAACAGAAAACATAGGCTCTCAACAAATCTACCGTATTTTTTTTATAAAGTCAAAAATTTTATTTTGAAACTTTCTGATTATGATTTTTACGGAAAATA